TGAACTAAGATTGCGCCACTGCATTCCAGCCTGGGCGACAGAGTGAGACTCCATCTCAAAAAAAAAAAAAAAAAAAAAAGGAAAAAGAGCAGTGGGGGCCGGGCACGGTGACTCAAGCCTATAATCCCAGCACTTTGGGAGGCTGAGGCAGGAGGATTGCTTGAGCAGTAGAGTTTGAGTCCAACCTGAGCAGCACAGCAAGACCTCGTCTCTACTGAAAAAAAAATTAGGCACGGTGGTGCATACCTGTGGTCCCAGTTACTTGGCAGCCTGAAGTAGGAGATCCGCTCGAGCCCAGGAGGTCAAGGCTGTCGTGAGTTTTGATCACACTACTGCTCTTCAACCTGGGTGACCGAGCGAGACCCTGACTCAAAAAACAAAAAAAGGATGGTGGGAACGGCTGGAGGACACCAATGGAAGAGTGATGGGACCTTGTTAACAATCCTTGGGCCACTGTGCAGAGAACGGGTTGTAGGGTTAACAGCCAGGTGGGGATACCAGTGAGGAGGCTGTGGTTATCTGGGGGTGGAGGGGGCTCACTACCATGAGTGGGCAATCAGGGAAGACTTCCTGGAAGAAGCTTGAATGAGCTCAGCCTTGAGAATGGGGGCAGGGCAGTGGGTGGAGTTTGAAAATGATAAGAGGAGGAAGAAGGAGCTGCAGGCAGTGGGGAAAGGGCATGGGCGAAGGCACCCAGTGGGCTGAGCTTGGTCCAGTGAGGAGTGGGGCTGTGTAGTCTAATGGCTGGAGAAGGGCACCCGCCTGGCGCAACCCTGAGGCTGGAGTATGGCATGCAGCGAGAGAGTCTTATTGAACTTTCTGGGTACTTTCCCCTTTGTTCCTCCCTGATTTAGAGAGGCATAAATTCTGGCTGTGATCCAGCTCTCATGCCCCTCCTAGCCCTGCTCCTGCTGTGTGACCCTGGGAGAGTGGCCTAACCTCTCTGAGCCACAAATGGGATAATAGCATCTCCCTAATGGGATCAAGTGAGTTAATGAACATGGAGTGCCTACAGGTAGAAAACTCATTACAGATTAATTTCTTTTCCTTTCACCCATCCATCATCTCATTACAGGAAAATTTGAAAGTGGTAAAAGAAAAAAATGTCCATTATCCTTTAAACTTCTCCCCTCCCCCTTACCACTTAACCTCATCACTGCACAGCCTAACCAGGATTCCGTTAAGGATGGGCCATGTTTATTGTGGTCCCATAGGATTCTAACAGAGCTGAGCATTTCCTGTCGCCAACATTGGCAGTTCCTGAGTTTTAGCCATTGTCATGTTGCAGCGCAATTACTTTATTTTATTTATTTATTTATTTATTTATTTATTATTATTTGAGATGGGGTCTCGCTCTGTCACTCAGGCTGGAGTGCAGTGGCGCGATCTTGGCTCATTGCAACCTCCACCCCCTGGGTTGGAGCGATTCTCCTGCCTCAGCCTCCTGAGTAGCTGGGACTACAGGCGTGTGCCACACAACCAGCCAATTTTTGTATTTTTAGTAGAGACGGGGTTTCACCATGTTGGCAAGGCTAGTTTCAAACTCCTGACCTCAAGTGGTCCACTGGCCTCGGCCTCCTAAAGTGCTGGGATTACAGGCGTGAGCTACTGCACCCGGCCTCCATTTTTTAATCTTCTTCTTTTTAAGAGACAGGATCTTGGCCAGGCACTCACGCCTGTAATCCCAGACCTTTGGGAGCCCAGGGCAGGCGGATCACCTGAGGTCAGGAGTTCGAGACCAGCCTGTGCAACATAGCAAAACCCCATCTCTACTAAAAATACAAAAACTTAGTTTGACATGGTGGTGGACGCCTGTAATCCCAGCCCTTTGGGAGGCCAAGGCAGGTGGATCACCTGAGGTCAGGAGTTCAAGACCAGCCTGGGCAACATAGTGAAACCCCATCTCTACTAAAAATACAAAAAATTAGCCTGGCATGGTGGTAGACGCCTGTAATCCCAGCTACCTGAGAGGCAGAGGTTACAGTGAGCCGAGACCACACCACTGCACTCCGGCCTGGGCAATAGAGTGAGACTCTCTCAAAAAACAAAGAGACAGGAGACAGGATCTCGTTATATTGCCCAGGATGCACCTCCTGGCCTCAAGGAATCCATCCTCCCACCTTGACCTCCCAAAATTTTGGAATTACAGGCGTGAACCACTATACCTGACCCATTGTTTATCTTTGTTGTTGTTGTTTTTGTTTGTTTTTTTGAGATGGAGTCTCACTCTGTCGCCAGGCTGAAGTGCAGTGGCGCGATCTTGGCTCACTGTAACCTTCGACTCCCTGGTTCAAGCCACTCTCCTGCCTCAGCCTCCCGAGCAGCTGGGATTACAGGCGCCCACCAACACACCCGGCTAATTTTG